GATGAAGAAGAGGAGACAGATGAAGAAGAGGAGACAGATGAAGAAGAGGAGACAGATGAAGAAGGAGACAGATGAAGAAGAGGAGACAGATGAAGAAGATACATAGTAAGAAGAGGAGACAGATGAAGAAGAGACAGAATAAGAAGAGAGGGATGATACCCACCTTGCTCCTGTGCAGATAAGGTATATAGCTTGATTTACTCTGCGCAAAGGAGACACATCAACCGCCTGTCTCCTCACCACACCTGCACTGCCTATTCTCGTTGAGTCTTCGCGGGGTCCTCCTCTCTCCACTGCCTGCACCAGTACCTGCAGCAATAGCAAAGGAGACACCCCAAGAGGGACACAAGAAGATAAAGCCTCGAGGAGACATTAAAAAATATATATACATACACATAAACACTAAAGGAGACAGACAAAGGAGACATTAAAGAGAGATATTGAGAGATATAAACACTAAAGGAGACAGATGAAGGAGACACACGAAGAGAGACAGGAGGGGATAAGCATCATTAGCTGAGGAGACATCAGGGAGGAAGCAGACAGAGGAGACACTAAAACAGACAAAGAGAGACAGAGAGACAGAAAGAGACAAATAAACAACACATAGAGGCAGTCAAGAGGAGACAGAGTAGGAGAAGGAAAAAGGAGACAGACAGTGACAACGAGAGCTCAAAACAACAAAACAAAACAAACAAACACATGCACTAAAGCACCCGAACAGCAGCAGCAACACATCAGCAGCAGCAACACATGAACAACAGCAGCAGCACATCAACAGCAGCAGCAACACATCAACAACACCACCAGTAGCAACATATCAACAGCAGCAACATATCAGCAGCAGCAGCATCAGCAATGAGAAGAGCAGGAGGAAGTATATAGACACATCATAAGAAGCCGCTTCCTACCTGGAGGGGATTCTTATCTGTCATAAGAGCAATAATATCAAAGGCGTGCTGAACAATTCGGATTGCTAATAACTTCTTCCCGCTGTTGCGGCCGTGCATCATCAAAGAATTCACTAGACGCTCAACCAAAGGACATAACGCCTTGCGGAAGCGTTTCTTCTGATATCTGCAGCAGATAAATAAATATATATATATATATATATTTATATTTATATTTATGTATTGTTTATTTATTATGTATAATGTATATATATATGTATATATATAATGGATATATATTTATGTGTAACGTACGTTTTCATGTATATATATATATATATATATATA